ATTGTAATCAAAATGAAAAACACGCTCTTTAAAGTTCCTCTTACTTTGAGAATACTTAAAAAATTTTTTTTTTTTTTTTAGTTATATGTTGTTAAAATAAAATTTGATCTTCATTATGATTTATTGGTCTCGGGATTCAAAGAACGTATACACAATATGATGATAGTTTCAAGCTTCCTTTAAGCCATAGCCAACATACCTTGAACTTCGACCTACTTACCTGGAAAGATCCATTTCTCTCGATAGGTGAGACGCGAAGGTGCCAGGACGAAAATGTTTGACCGGTTTTTGTAATTTTACTTATTTTACATTTGAAAAACGGAACAATCGATACATAAATATAGAACATAAACGAATATATAATAAACGAACAAAATGACAAAAATAATGAGGTCAAAATTTATTAAAAAAAAAAAATTATCGTTACAAACAATAAACGAAAAAAGTCATTTTTGTTTCTAAAAAATCAATTTTTTGAAAAAAAACTCTAATTATTATACTTACAAAACATTTTTCGTATTAAGTTTAACGAAATTTAAATTTCAATTAGGTATTCAAAAATATTACTAAATAAAATTCTTGTCAATTAAAAGTTTAGGTCAAATAAAGATTCCAATAATTTTGAATAATTCGCTAAATAAAATTTTGGAAAATAAAATTTTTTTTACTAAACGAAAATTGAGATTTCCGTGTTGAAAGAATAGAAAGGTATTTTTCTTTCTTTCACATTTGTTGAGTGTTAAAAAATATAATCTTGCATTACATTCAAATTTTTCTATATATACATATATACAATTTGAAAGACATAAAAATACATTATTTCTCCCTTTAATCTTGTAAAGTGTGTACTCGCAAAACTTTTCGCGTAAATGCACATTGAAAAATGTGATTCAAGATATGGAGGTCGTTTTATATAGTGTACTGTTCTCTCTCTCTCTCTCTCTCTATTGTTTCCCTTGAACGTCTCTTGGCAAGATTAAATTTTCAAAGGCACATGAATATATTTCCCCAAATCCCACTTGACATAAAATATCAATTGAGAAATAAAAATCATTTCACGTTCAAAATCGTATTTAACATAATTATCACTTACTTGGCATAAAATTCATTTGTCATAAAATTCACTTGACAAAAAATTCATTTGGTAAATGAAACACGTGTCAAGTGATATTTTTGCAACGGTAAGATTTATATTAAATAAGAATTATGAAATGGAAATATTTTGCCAAGTGAGTTTTACGTCTACCCAGTGGGAAATTTACCATTGACAAAAGAGTGGCCCAATATTGGACCATCATTGGTCCTATAATGGCCCAATGGTTACCGCAGTGTCAATTTCCCACTGAGTAATAAGATTTATTTTAAATAAATTGTATATACCAAGCAAGATTGACATCAAATGATTTTATATTATTTTTTGCAAGAAAAAAATTTGGATTGTTATAAATAATAAAAATAAATAAAATACAAATTGTAATAGAAATAAAATATAACAATAATGTAAAAAAAAAAAAAAAAAAAGAAGATAAAACTGACTCGCAGTGCTTTTAAAGTTCTGCTAATGCCGTTCTTCAGTCGAGTAACTCTATAAATCACGAGCTTTACTGATATATAATGTGTGAATTTTATTGTACGTGCACTGAGCTCCCAGGACCATATTGATTAGTTGGTTTAAAAATAAGATTTAAATGCACAGGGTAAAAATATAAATATAGCTTAGAAATTATATAAAATGAGAACAAGATTATATAAATAAATATAAAATATGAAAAATCTTTCTCTATATATATACATATAATGAAACATAATACAAGAGGAAAAAAACTTTAAAAATGCATAGCATATAATGTAATATATTAGAATTTAAATTTCAAAAGGAAATAAATTTCTGAGATTATACATATATACAAAAAATGTAGTTGAATTGAAAATATTCTTCAAGTAAAAATGCAATATTTTGCAAAAAAAAAATATATATATATATATGTATATATATAAATTATTGGCAAATTATAAATAAGAATTGAACGAACATAAACGATTGACAATTTGAAAAATGTGACATAGGACAAATTAAAAGTTCTATAATTAAAAATGCTACAAAAACAAAATTTCCCATAATTAAAACTTTAGACTAATGAAAATAACAAATAATTGAAAATTTCTCCTAATTAAATTTTACAAAATTAAAATAATTGAAGCAAATAAAAGTCTCAATAATAAAAAAAAATTTGTTCAAATGTAAATTCCTAAAATTAAAATATTCGGTTAATAAATTTTTGTCTAAATAAAATGCCAATAGTTAAAAATTGTATCAAATTGTTGATAATGCAACGTTTTGATGCTGTTTATGGTCTCAATTTGAGAGCCTCAGAAAACTGTGTAATGGAAAATTTGGGTGAATTTCTCTATCAATTTTATATACCTATATATGTATATATATCCTGGAAGTAAAAATTGCGTAGCTTTCAAAACTCCTGGAAAACCTTTTTTACTTGCAGTTTATTGAATTCCGGAAATTAGTTTGAAATTTTTTTTACTTTCTGCCGTCTTTATCAAGAAAAAAAAGTTAGCGAGTTTATGTTCGTGTTTACCAGAAGTAAAACTCGTCGTGGATATATATATATATATATATATATATTATAGTAAGTATAGTCCGAGAAATCGATGTAAGCGTGTGAAGGATGCAACAAGTAAAGGCCACACAATATACCCTTGACAAGTCTGCGAATGGGAAAATGTAGTGTGTAACAGAAAAATTCTTAATTTTCGCGTATCAATATTATGTATATGTCTATATAGTCGATTCAAAACCTGGCAGAGTACCTACATGTAACTATTATTGCAATGCATTAGTATACATTGATTGTGAGGTAAAAGATTGGTTGGGGTTACCATTTTTAGTTAGTAAACTATACTGCAGCTAATTTATCAGTTGTGGTTACTACTTTATTGGTTGGCATAACTATTTTATTAGTTACTTTAACTAATTAGTTGGTTGAAATGACTATTTAATTAGTTACCTGACTAACTAAATGGTAACAGTAACTAATATAAATTAGCAACAATACTCTTACTAAAGAAATGGTAATCACAACCAATCGTTTCTCTCAGTGTATACATAAATGCATTGAACAATTCTACAATAAATTAATTTCGTCTCTTATTATAATTGATGATATATATCCATTCTTTGGATTAGTTTTTCTTAAATAATAAAAAAAATTTCCAATCGTTCCGCAAAAGTAGTTGACAATACAGGTGCACTGTAGGATTAATATATAGAGGTCTAATTTAAGTTGAGATTAGGTTTAATGTAGGTTTTATATATATATATATATATATATGTATGATGTATTCCACGCCAAAGCGTAAGTCCATCTGCAATTGAATCTCCGATTTTTTTTCTTTTAGTACTAATTGAGACTAGCTTCCATGATTTTTTTCAAATTTTTTTAGCAAGCCGTTTTCGAGTTATGGAATTTTGAAATTGGAGAATTTTCATGACTTTTAATTTTTGAATGCTCATAACTGTCTTAAAAATGCATCAATTTTAAAAGTCTTTTCTTGAAAATGTGTGTTTTTAAACGTACTTTTCCAAAAAAAATCGAAATTTTTTTTCAAACGATATTACTATCAAATTTTTGAGTTTTAATGATAAAAAGTCATTTTTCTCATTTGACGTACTTATCGATTTTTTTAAATTTTTTCAAAAAAACTACTTACGAAACTTTTAAGCCTAGCCCGATAATGGGCAAACGATTTTTTCAATATTTTCGGAATTTTTCAAAGATTTTTGAATTTTTTAAAAATATTTTTGGTTTTTTTTATACTACGTACTTTTATGTATTTTGATGCACTGACAATACCCAAAAATTTGATTTTTATGGCGAGAACCATAAAAAAAAGTCCCAAAATTTATGGTTTTTTTTTCGTTTATTGGGTAAAATATGCAATATTTAAAAAAAATGTTCAAACAAAAGTTATAGATCTTATTAAAATACATTTTTTATATTTGATGCATTTTTTTTCATTTTGCATATTTTACTCAATAAACGAAAAAAAACATAAATTTTGGGACTTTTTTATGGTTTTCGCCATAAAAATCAAATTTTTGGGTATTGTCACTATGATTTTCGTAATCAGCGCATCAAAATACCTAAAAGTACGTAGTATAAAAAAATATTTTTACAAATTCAAAATTCAAAAATTTTTGTAAAATTCCGAAAATATTGTAAAAATCGTTTGCCCATTATCGGGCTAGGCTTAAAAGTTTCGTAAGAAGTAGTTTTTTTTTGAAAAATCGATCAGTACGTCAAATGAAAGGTACGTTTAAAAACACACATTTTGAAAAAAAGACATTTAAAATTGATGCATTTTTAAGGAAGTTATGAGCATTCAAAAATTAAAAGTCATGAAAATTCTACTCCAATTTTCAAAATTCCATAACTCGAAAACGGCTTGCTGAAAAAATTTGAAAAAATTCATGAAAGCTAGTCTCAGTTAGTACTAAAAGAAAAAAAAATCTCAAAAAAATCGGAGATGCAATTGCAGATAGACTTACACTTTGGCGTGGAATAATCATATATAAGCGACAAAAGGAACGTCGTCGTGTACTTCGTCTCGCTAGGACATGGTTAAGCTTACAGTCCATGTAATTGGATGTTTAGCACGACTAACCGCACGGGGATTACCTTACAAGCGCGAAATATAAGCCATGCTATATTTGTATATATTCATTTACCGGGAATTATTTCCTCACATAATAAATCATTCGATTAATCACTCTCAGTACAAACTATAATACGTTTTTATGTTATATTATGTCAACATAATTCATATTTTGGGGTACTGTTCAGAAAAACGCTGTTTCTGTCTAATGCCCTATTTAGAGAAAACTGGTCTTACCTTCACGATTTTTCTATAATTGACCTATTTTGTAAGATTTTTCTTTATTTTTAAAAATAAATGATAGTTTTACTGTAAATACAAATACATACCAAAATTGATGAGTAGTTTTTTTCCAAGTTTACACTTCTGGTCCGCGTGCTTCAAACGTCCTCACCTAAAAACAAATTTCACGCAAAATTAAAATTATTGTAAATTTTATTTATTCAAATTTAAAATATTTTTTTTTTCTGAAATTTTAACACGGGGATAAAAAGATGGTACGGGGTACTATCTAGATAGTACCAGGTACCATATTTGATCTTACATATACGGACAGCAATCTAGATTCTATAAGTTACTATCCAGATTGTAGTGGGTAACATAACCATACTTTTTGTAACATCTTTGATAGTACCGGATAACATCTACTTTTTACCATCTTAAGATCATAAGTTCTTACCATCTATTTCTCTCCGTGAAATAATTCTTTATTAAATTTTGTGTGTTGAATTTGTTTTTTAATTAATGATGTTTAAACTTTCAATTTTTGTGTTATTTTTTGTTTTCAAATAATATATACATATGGTCAATCTGTTCTTAGTTAACCATTCACAATTCAAATTTCATTATTGATGATTCTCCGATCAGACCGTATATAAATTGAATTTGCGTCGTCGGCATCATTGTAAAAGAGTTATATATTAATGAAATATCGGTGAGGAAAACAAGCGGAAATGTTTTCGTAAAATTTAATTGACGTCACTATATATATATATATATATTTCTATTGTGTACTCGTCGAGAATGGCAGGTTAATTAGTTTATATATGAAAACGTGACACATATATTGCCTATTTCATATGCCGGTATATATATATATATATATTTGAAAAAACAACAACTAAAATGCAATTAGAGTCGGGATAAACGAAAATTATTATTATTATAAAAATAGTTTATAAAATAACAACACTAATTTGCCGCAAAAACTTTCAACTGTTGGAATCACAAATTGCCAAAAATGTCTAATTATAGTAAAATTTATAATCATAATAATTGTAATTAATATTTTAAATTAATCTCTTTTTTGGGTAAAAAAACTTTTTAATCCCCCCAGTAGTTTTGTTTTTCCAATTTTTTTTTCTTATTTACTATAGTATCAAATGGTCAGTGTTATATATCGTTAATTAGGTGTGAAATAGTTTTGCTTGTAGTACCTAAACGTGTATGTGTTTCTCTTGAGGTTAACAAAAATCCAGTCAATTTTGAGATAAATTAACTTTTCTTCCCGTGGGAAACGTAATCTTTTCGTTATAGAGCCATAAAAAAGAACGCAGCTAAAAGTACACTTTCAGTAATAAAAATCCAAAGAGAATGTTCATTGCTGATATAGACTGAAATGACAAATCGGCGAGGGTGATAAAAAAAATAGTGTTACAAACATTTTCAGATCGTTGACTCTGTTTTTTTGTGAATAAGTATATATTTTTTTCTAGAGGCAAAAGAGAGTTCTTGCTGGTCAAAATGTAAAATAAAATATTTTTATTAAAAATTTAAATGTATAAATTACAAAAAATTAGGGTGTTTTTTGCATACAAATTACCCTTATTTTTTGACTTACATTTAAATTTTATAAAGTCTGATCTACCGTAAACATACCTAACTAATAAAAAAAAATAAAACACAATATTTTTTTGCTAGCCAAAAATTGTAGATTATTATAATACATAATATTATGTATACAGAAAATTATTACCATTTAAATATATAATTTTTGAAAATAACCAAAGAAGTGAAATTCATGGAAATTTTTAAGATTAAAAAACTCGATCATGTGAATATTGCGAAGAAAATTTCAGGTCATTGAACATTCAGTTATAATAATAAAAAAAAGTAAAATTTTCCAAAAAAAATCATTATAATACCCAGTCAAACGAAAAAACTCCTTCGATTCATAACTGAAAATTCAAGAAATTTAAAAAAATTATCTGTATTATTTTTATGTTCCATATAAAATATACCTCATGGAAATGTTATTTTTGTTTTTTAAATAAAATGATATCACCATCACCTACAAAGTAACAAAATTTAATTATACTGACGATTTTACAACGCACACGTTTTATATAGAATAAGAGAATCTCTTTGACCGCTATTTAATGAACTTCTTTGATCAAAAAGACTTTTTTTCACTGGCTGATAAAACACTCATTTGCATAATTCGCAAAAGGTAATCAAGTAGCATTCCACTAATCTCAAGTCATGAAATATTTCACTATATATAATCCTGAAAGTGAAAAAAAGTAAGAAGAAAGTTTCGTTTTAAAACAGAAGCAAAATATTTTCTGTTGCGAAAATACTATTATTATTATTTTATTGATTAATTTTAATTTTTAAAATTCTCTCTAAATTAGAATCAGTAAAAAATTATAGCTACTGATTTCAATCAGTGAGATTTTCCCTGAGACTGATGTAATATATAAAATAAAAATTTATGAAAATGTGATAATGTTTTTAAGAAATTACAAATTGACGTTTTATAATAATTATACAATGACTTATAAAATGAGAAATGAAACTGATGCCTACGTCTATATTACACTCTATTAAATTATCATAAATGTAACCTATAATTTATTGTTTCTCAGACCTATCTTTTCAGAGCACTTTTTTTTTATTCACGGAACTATATTGTATTTGGCTCTAAAATAATACAGCAACAGGTGATATATCAAAGTAACGCAAATGCAACAGTGCGCTACTCACGATAATGTAGCGCCAAATTTAAACCAAATTCCTAAATATTTAAAAAAAACTTTTTTTACTTAAAAATATTTAAATATTAGAGAGAAATAAAAAAAATATGCCTCAATATTATAATTTCGAATAAGGCGCCAAAAAATAATTTTTTCATAACATAAAATATTTATCAGATAAAATGAATCGAGGATTTTTTGTACTGGTTTTAACGCTTATGAAAAAATTGGGCGTATTTTTAAAGCACCTCTAAACTATGGGTGGAATAGGACGTTAAATATTTCAAGTGCACTTGACTCTCTTTGCGTAAAGCCTCTTTTGGCTTTTTATCCATGATTCTTGTATGTACATATATATAGTATTCTTGAAATGTAAATTTGTATTTGTGAAAATGGAAAGAGATCTCGTCATGAATTGCACAGACACATTCAGATAGAAATTCACGCTTGCACTTTGCAACAAGGGCCAAGGTTTCTTTCCATTGTCAGAAAAGAGAGAAAAAAAGAGAGAAAGAAAGATGCTTATATGAAGTGTACAGAGAATTGGTTATCGATCCTTGTTTTTTTTCTTTTTTTACCTTTTTTACTTTTTTTCTCTCTCTCCAATCAGCAGCCCACTTTTCGCTCCATGCTCATTAGTTTGTCTTCTATATATGTGAAAAACCCCCTTAGGGAATGATCATCACATATTCGCACTGGCAATCCGTACATATATATATATATATATATATATATATATATATATATATACATACGAGTCATCGCTGTGTCACTTATTCCCAATGCGAATTTACACTAACATATTCAGGCAATTTTATCACCACTCACATGTAATACGATTTTTATTACCAGAATATCTTCTTACCCTGTTATGTTAATTGCTTTATATACATATACATATATAGGCACAAAATCTCGTTATAAAAATCTTTTTCAATAAAGTGTTTAGAAAATTGAAAAGTAACAAAAGTTATGGAAAAATGATAAATATAGGAGAAGTAAATTTATCTAAATAAATTTTTTTTATTTTAAGTTCTTCACAGTGTTTTATCACTAAAGGTAGATAAATAAATTTCACATAATGTATGCTATATTTTGTAAAACGGGTTTAAAATTTCCTAAATGTAATTATAGTAAAACATTTGCTAACAAATTGACTGTAAAGTTTTTAATTACAGTTTGTAAAAATTTATATTGTCATATTATATGTGTTATTCACTCATTTTCCACAAGTGACAAATATTTTATTTTTATCAACTTAAAAAAAATTAATATTAATAGAAATTTTTTAAAAAATTTCATCAAAAAATTAATTATTTCTCAATTTAAATTGAAGGAAAATTAAAAAAACAATATTTTTCCATTAACAAAAAGAGTTAGGCATTAAAAAAAGTGTTTTTTAAAGCTTCTCTAAAAATTTTTGATTTATGTTTAAATTATTGTTTAAGGATAGTAAATAATTTCATTTAATTTTAACAAATTATGTAAAATTAAAAAAAACTTTTCTTATAAGAAAAGTACATCTAAAAAAAATTTTAATATTACTGTACTTTTAAATATTAACTATTCGCTGTCGCTGACTCGCTTTATATATAAAAACACTTTTTTCTACAATTTATATGTCTCTTTATGAAAAAAAGCTTTTAATGATAGAATTGCGAATTTTTTTTATTAAAAAAACGTTAATAATTGTCGCTGGATCGTTAAAAAGTCTCTAGAGGAAAAATAGTCGAGTTTTCTCTCATGTAACCAGGTGAAAATTTTCTCCATTGAAAATTACGTAATTCTTTCTCAATTCGCATTCATTTTAAACTATTTGCAATTTAAATTTCCCTCCAAATTTTAATATTCAGTTTTGATTAATACATAATAAAATAGATTTCTATAAAAAAATATAAAATTTTTACACAGAAAATTATAAGGTATTAAAATAAGCTGCAACGCTTATTTTTTTAATCCAATTTTGCTTATTTTAATACCAAAGTGGATTAAAATAATAAGCGTTGCAGCTTATTTTAATGCCTTTTAATTTTCTGTTTAGTTTTAAAATAATTTTATTTGCAAAATATTTCTATAATTTATTTCTCTTTATACGAGTGTTTATTTTCAATTATAATTCGTTTTTAATACTAAAGCTAAAAAAAGAAGGTATAAAATACAAAAGTTAAAAATGACGGAGTAAAAATTGTTTAATGTCTACATAACACATTTCAACATATTTTATGATTAACTGACGCTATTCAACAAGTTTTGAGATAAAAACTATATATATGCTAAAATATATATCTATATATAGAAAAGTTTACGTTTTACGAATATTCGTGCTAGAGTATATATATGTATATAATATGTTATTCATAGAAAACAGAAAATATAGTTCTTTATTTTCCGGCGAAAATCTCCAGTTTAAAGTGAAACA